ACAGCCTCCGCTTCACGGCAACTGCGCGCAGCTGCGTTCAAAGGCAAATCGGTAGTCACCTGGAGGGTCATGCTCGTTGCCACCCTTGGCGCTGTGCGGAAACCAAAGGCCAGCAAGCGCCTCCCGGAAACGCTTTGTTTTTGCCTTGCTTTGCTTTGCGCCCAGTGGAGCTGGTCCCACTCCCGGGCGCTTGAAACGCCAGCTCAGCTCCAGCTTTGTCGGCGCACTTGTTGCCAGGTGGTCGGCCAATCCGGCCCACGCAGCTATGACAGCCTATCGTCCCTTTTTCGGCAAGCTGATGGGACTGGCGGGCATGAAAAGATGCTGGTTGGCTGGGCCGACCCCTGAATGGCGGGATGTCCCCCAGCTGATGGCTGGCCCACACCGGCGCTGCGCCGCAAGATGCGGCCTGGATCTTGTCCTTTACGGCATCACATGCATGAGCGGTTCGCCGTGCTGCGAAGCCACGCTCATTTCTCCGCTCCGGCGCGACGGCCGCACGCGCAGCGGACCAGGCTGCGGAAGATGGCGCGGCCATAGCTGGCGTAGGATACCCGCACGAACGGGCTGTCGCATCCTTTGGCCGCATAAGTCGTGCTCGCGGGGCAGGGGCGATGCCCCCTGGGACCGGATGGCTGTTGGCAGGTGTTACCGACCGGCCATTCTGGCCCAGTCGCCAGGTTCACCGGAGCCGCTCGTGCGAGGAGCTGCTGCCAAGTAGGCGGCTGACTCGCGCGCGCGCGCGCGCGCGCGTTGGCGCGCGCCAGAGAGACCCAGGCGGCAAGTTTGTGGCTAATCGCCGCCACGCTCCCCGAGGAGCGCTCGCACATCGTCCAAACAGCAACATCGTGTGCTGTCGGGGCCACGTGGGTCTTTCCCAGGTTGACGGCCGCAGAAACTGCTTCGAGAGCAGCGCGCCCGCGGTCGGGCGTGGCGACGATATGCAAACAGCTAAGAAAGGGCAGCCAAAAGCGCGGGGCCAGCGCCACCAAGCCAACCGACGCCCCAGCCCTTGACGCACCACTTCCTACGCCGGGCTGCTTTCTTGAAACAAGCGCGGAAGTGGCACCGACGCTTGTGCCCTTTGTTCAGGCCTTGCCTGCGTACGGCAGTCTGAGTACTTGTGGTGGGATGAGGCCCGCCAGGGAGTGGCTGAGCCATGGTGAGATTGGGCGTCAGCTCGGGCGAAACACCGTGGTAGGAGAAAAGACACCGAGGAAGGTATGCGCCTCAAAGCTCGTGCCTCGCAGCGTCGGCGGTATTGTAGTTCAACGCGTCGCCTGGGCCTGCGGCGCCGTGAAAGACGAGGTCCCAGCGGCGCGTGGCTGCTAGGGGACAATTGGTTCTGGTGGAGCATCAAATTGAAGCAGCTGTGCAAACTTTCCTTGCAAATCGGTGGATGCATGCGAGAAGCTTATTTCCTACTTTGATGCCTTCTGTCCTGACCAGCGATGGATCCCGTCATTTGGCCTGGAGCCGAGGCGCGGCCGCGGGAGGGGGCAACCTTCCAGCCAGCTACTTCACATGTTGGCACTTCATCCCACCACAAAGTATACAGCCGCGCTCGCCAGCTTTCTTGGGTGTTTGGATTGCTGCAAGGGGTGGTCAGGCATTGCCACTGCAGCCGCTGCCCAAGCTCACTGGGTTTCTTGGGCAGGCAGGTTGCGGCGATACCCCGACGCAATTTTAGCCAACGTTTAGACAGCACTTGTCAGATCTTCTACGCGAGCCTGAAGAGACACAGTCAAGCGACCTGGCCAACAGATTGTCAAGTGGTGGCAAGCCACTATCGCTATTGCAAGGCTACAGGCGCCTGTCTGCTGGCGGGCAGTCGCACAATGTGTCAAAAGAGCAAACCCACGCGCAACATCTCAGGAAGACTTGCTCGGAGTCGCGCAGGAGGCCCTCTCCCCACATTCCAACACCCTTAACCTCGATTGCAAGCAGCGATCACTGCGAAGAAGTTCCATGTTACGATTGCAGGACAGTCTTGTATTCTGGTCCGCAAATGTAAACAAGCATGATTGGCAACGTGTTGTCGCAGAAGCATGCTGTTGTCAGCTTGATATGCTTGGCAATTGTGAGCCGTCGACAAAGTTTGTCAGGTGGCGTGGGTTGCCTTCAGTTGCCGTCGGGTGTCATTCGGCAGGGCGCGAAGGCACCGCACGTCATCAGCCAAAATGTAAAAGCGGCATGTGAGTTGCCTTGCCTGACTTTGGGGCATGGCACAGCACGTTGGAAAGCGCTCTGGTTGATTTGTGTTGCACGCGGGAATATGAGATGAGCAACGCTGCTGTCAAACAGCGCGACTCATTCCACCCTCAGGGACAGCCGGCCGCTCGCACTGCAATCTTTGACAGTGCTGCACCAGTCGCACAGGCCGGTTTCAGCTGTCTTGAGAGCCATCCTCACATAACGTGGAATCTTATCTGCAACCAGATAGGTAACCGCGTCGCTCTTTTTCCTTCTCTGGCCAGAACAAATTTGCGCCTGCGTGGCGCTTTCGAGGTGGCTCAAGGGAAGCTGGCACCTGTGCAAAGACTGACCGTTCAAGCTGCAATGATGCTAACAGCATCCGAATTGAGTTCTACAACTCAGGCAGGCACGCTGCCCACAACAAGACAGTGCCCGCGCACCACGCCAGCGCACAGCATTTGCTCCATGCCCACCTCGGACTTAGGGACTTACGTCTGCGCAAAGGCGCGCCCGTCACCAAAGGTTCCGTGCCTTAATTTGTCTTGAAGAGGTACTCCATGAGTGATGCGACATGTCCCGCCTTGGTGCAGTTCACTCTGCAAGCGTGAAGCCAGACTGCAATTTTACCAGGTCCTGGCAGCTGCAATTCATCGCCACAGCCAGAGAGCAAGGAATTCCCCTCAAAGTGCAGGCCGGAAGTACAGTAAGGCACAAAACACGCTCAGCACTACAATCTCTTGATTGCAAATGCTCAGGTCACCGACACTCCAAGCCACAGCCTTGCAGCTTAGAGCGTCAAGAGCCAAACACGCCGTAGAAGCACAACTCAAAAATGCTTGTGACTTCTGGTCTAGGGCTAATGCGGTGACACATCCTGATCATTCGTGACATTGCCATCCCGCTTCATTTCAGAAGTGTGCAAGCTCAATTCCCAAGCAGTCCTCTGTGACAGTGGACTGTACTGGCTCGAGCTGAAAGAAGATCGCAACGACTCAGACTGCCATCCTGGGAGGCTTCAGCACAGCCTGCATACTAGGCTGCTAAGCCGCCTGAGAACCAAATGCCAGCGCAAGGCCATCTGGTGAGAAGCCAAGCACCTAAGGTGTTTGCACTCCCTTTCTCGAAAGTACTGGAATGGACTCACAGCGAGCAATGACCACTCTGAGTCGATGTCTGTGGCACCTTTGCAATCGGACAGAACCTGGACTTCTGACTTTGCATTGATGGGTCCAAGCTGATGTTGTGCTATGGCATCCGTTGAGACAGGCGTCAAAGCTGAGACAAAAGCTCGTACAGGCTTGGCTGCGGCCAAATCCCAAAGCATCAAGCTGTCGCTGGTGGCCACCGCGGCTAGGTGTCCCCCTGGATGAAACCTCGGGCAAGCACTTGTAGGTCTTGTAGGTGACTCCAAGCACTTGTTGATTGCCCTATTTTAACTAAGATCTGACAGCATCTGCACGCATCCAGTGCAGTCCAGCCTAATGGCTTGCGCTGATGGAGCAGATGGACGTGCAAGGACCTGTGAAAATTGATTGGCCAAGATGCATTGATCAGAGCGCATAAGTCGACCAGCATGTGTAACACGAGACAACTGGGCATGGCGCGCTCAACAAATAACTGAAGTATCATCCAGGCTAAATCAAGTCAGGCACGTGCCAAAGCAATCAAGTCAAGGTACCCGCAGTGGTGAAGACCGCTCAACACTCCAAAGCAGAGCTCCCTCAAGTCCTGCAAGCTGCGCGCACCACAGCGCATGCCCTTTTTCAAGAGCCCTGCCTGAGGACGCAAAGTAATGATCCCAAGGGCTCCAGTCAACGCACCAAGCCTTTGGGTGTCAGGGTAGCTGCCCGTGCTTGCCAGACTAAAAGAGCTTGAGCTGAGTTGAAACTTCGAGTGTTGGACTGGTTCCTTCTGTCTGTAGACCTTGAGCGCCGAGCACTGAAACTGGTCAAGGATCAACCGCTGGGGCCTAAACGCAGCTTGCTGTCCTTGATGTGGTATTCCAGAGTCGCAGCTGGCCCTCCTCGCATCGATGTTCAATGCATCTCTGCAAACCTCTTCGGTTGGCATCATTACAATATTTCGAAGGTTTGCTTGCAAGTGACATCCTGACCGCCAGAGAGCAAAAACTCAGAACTTGGGGCAAAAGCAGCAGAAAGAAGACGACCTGCAATGCCATACGAGCGCTGCCAAAAAAAAGTGGCCCCCCACCTGAATGGCTTCCCAGCCGATAACCTGCGAGCAGCCACACAACACCCACACGGAAGCACAACATGTCCAAATCATCTTTGCGCGCCTGGAAGGTCTGACTCCAGCGGTATACACTTGGGCCTGCAAAGCGACCAAAATCATCTCTTTCCCTCTCTCTCTCCCTGTTTCTCTCTCTCTCTCTCTCTATCTCTCCCTCTCTCTCTCTCTGCCTGCTTCTCTTTCTGCCTTTTCCTTTCTCTCCCTTTCTCTTTCTCTCTCTCTCTCGCCTCTCTCTCTCTCTCTCTCTCTCTCTCCTGCCTCTCTGAGAGAGAGAGAAGAGAGAAAGAGAGAGAGAAGAGAGAGAGAGAGGAGGAGGGAGGGAGGGAGGGAGAGTCTCTCTCTCTCTATCCCTCCCTCCCTCCCTCCCTCCCTCCCTCTCTCTCTCTCTGCCTGTTTCTCTCTCTCTCTCTCTCTCTGTTTGTTTTTCTCTCTCTCTCTCTCTCTCTCTCTTTCTCTCTCTCCGTGCACAAGTGATCGCAACTGACTGGGACAATGCACAAAGCCAAGGCACCCACAGCAGATCTGAGCTCCACAAAACAAGGTCCCGAGCCCACCTGATTGTCTTCGACATGCCACTTCATTCTCGTGTGAATAAGTGCTGCTCACACAAAGCCTTTGCGTACAGCAGGTCGAGTATGAGTTCATACGCTTCAGGCTTGTTCGTTGGACAATTAGCCCAAGTGTCCAAATCCAAGCTTACTGTTGCTTTATATGGTCATGTTGACATACGTGGCGCGCAAACAAACACGCAGAGCACGCATACACTCACGCGTTGCATCAAGAATCATGTTTGATTCGTTGTCCCTAATTGCAACTCACTGTCATCGTGCGTCAGGAATGTCACGAGTCAGTGGTGGAAGCTGCCGCACTAAGTCATGCCTTGTAGCTGCATAGCTACTAACCCCGCATTTCAAGACTTATCGGCGTCTGCGGAGCAAAACGGATATCAGCGCTCCTGCTCTGGCGGGTAAGAGGGTGGCGTTCTGAGCGTGGCGCCTCTGCCACGGCCAGGCAGCATACTAGCATACGGGGCGGAACGCGGGAATGCACATTTTGGGCTGCAGCAACACTGGCTTTGGAAGTGGGCAACACATTGCTTGCAAGCGCTGGCAATACATTTCTAGCACAACGGAGCACTTGCAGCACTGAAAGCGCTGTAACTGTCTGCGGCACGTGTAATAGGCTCCATCCGACTTCCTCTGCAAACGCAGGAACTACATCACGTCGCATATAACATCACATCACAACACAGCATACATGACATACATAGCTTACAGGACAGACAGAACATGTATGGTACACATGACACACATACACACACTACATTGCAAAACCTTACCTTACATTACATTGCATCGCATTGCATTGCATTGCGCGGCAGGGCATTGCAATGCATTGCATGGCATGGCATGGCATGGCATTGCATTGCACCACATTCATGACATACACAACACACGTCACATACATGGCATACATACTACATACAACACACACACATCACATACACACATACACAACAAACCCAATATAATATTGCATTCGCAACATACATTGCATACAGACCATACATAGCATACAAAAAAGAATACATAGCATACATAGCATACAGAACATGTATAATATACATACCATACAACCATACCATAGAATACCATAACATACCATACCATACCACACCACACCATACCACACTATACCACACACACACTATATCATAGATATATAGACATTCATACATGACATACATACAATACATTACCTGCCCTTTTCTTGCGTTGCAGTGCATTACATTGACATACGTACATACATAAAATGGCATGACATGACATTACATTACATTGCAGTACATTACATTGCGTACATTGCAAACATTACACACATACGCACATACATTAAATACATACATACATACATACATACATACATACATGCATCCATGCATACATACATGCACATATGCATAAACTTCCACACATACATGCGTGTGTGCGTACGTACATACATAAACTTCATACATTTCACACAGTTCATACATGCATACATACAGTGCATTACATTACGTTTTAAGTCACAATGCAGTCTGCAGCACTCCCCGACTCGCTCCGAGTGGGTGGCAAAATCCATAACCTTGGCTGCGTCAGCTTCCTGCCGGCCCCAATCGTCGGATAGAGGGTGTGTCCATACCCCACGGTCCGCGTGAGTCCGTGTTAACCATAGCCCGCGTTAAATCAAAAACCAGTCCTGGTTCCCCGCAGAACCCAGAACCACAATTTCTCACCAAAAGGAAGAACCCAACCCAGGTTTTCTGGGGTGGCTAATCAGAAAATTTCCTCAGTAGAGCGAACGAGGCAGGCGCACCTCCCCCGCCCCGGCTACAGCGGTGGGGTTCCAGTGCAGTGGGCTCCCTTGGTTCTGAATGTCCTGCGTGTGAAGAGCCAATAGGTCTGGAAGTAGGAGCCAAGAGGGCGGCATGTCAAAGCCCTTGAAGTCCAGGTGAGTGAGCTGATCCGCCCAAACGTTGGAGCACCGTTTAACATGGTGGAGCGAGGCAAAGACAGCCCGCTTCTGTTCCTGCGCCAAGAGTTCCATGAAGAGGGCTGAGCAGGGCCATTTCTTAGCAGACCGCTTCAAGGCAGCATAGGTGTTGCCCTTGTTGTCCGTCCTGAGGGGGATATGGACCTCCATAAGGTGGGTGGCCACCCTGTCTGCAGCAAACAAGCGGAGCTTTGGACGGGTGTGTGGTTCGGCGAGTCCCCCATCCAGCCTCCCGCTGTCCCTATTGGTGATTCGCCAGCCATTTGGTGAGCCCTGCCAAAAATGGGGAAAGCGGAGATCCTTACACAGAGCCAGCTTGGCCAGGAAACGGCTTGCATTTCCTCGCCAGCTTTTGTTCCCACAGTTTTTGCAGCATGGGCTGCAGCCTGGCCAGCCTCTCATCTGGTAGCCAGGCCGTGGTCTTGGTGATGTCCACGTGGTATCCCAACCACAGGTTCCGTGGGCCCAGGGCATTCTTGACAAAAAAAGGAACATGAAGATGCCTGCACAAGAGGAGCATGAAGTCGACCATGATCCACAAGAACTCCTCAGAGATGTGGTAGGTCAGTCTCGTCAACATGGCCGCCACTCTGCTCCAGTAAAACTGGGCTGACGCTACCCCATAGGTGCCAACCATGTTGACCCAGAAGAGGTTCTTGATTGTCGCAATCATGTATTTCCAATCTTGGCGACGGATTTTGATGCGTCGGTGCGCCTTGCTGACGTCTGACTTGAACAGACTGAGATCCTCGTCTGTCATCTGTCCTCGCGCCCACAGCAGATCGTGGAGCGTGGGGGAGGTGGTCTTCTTGTTAATATGGGAGCGAATGTTATCATTCACTCCAATGATGGTCGCATCGAGTACTGTACGGACCTTGTCTGCCTCCTGGATTGCGGCCATGGCCCCCACGCAAAGGTCTGCCGGTCTACACTTGCAAACTTTGGCGGCCTCCTCCTTCAAGAAGGCGCCCAACACCATGCCCATGTCTCGTTCTTCTTGGAACGTGCTTTCGATTTCATCCGCAAACTGCTCTGCACTCGAGTAATTCTCGGCGGTAGTAGGAGCCTGGAGGGCCATAGTCCTCCAAGACCGGTGCGTCGACTCACACTCATACTCGGGGCATCCGGGGTCTCCGCTCATGCTCTGAAAGTGGAAAATTCTGCCCAGGCGGTGTCCTGGATAGGCGATCTCCACCATACATCCTCTCCTGTCTTGCGTTGCCAGACTATCCTGTAGAAGGACCATGGGGGTCTTGCCAATCTCCTTTGGGGCAACTTCAGCGCTGTGGTAGCAGCCGCTCCCCATAAGGATTGAAGGAGAGGGTTTGCCCCCCCTTCTACGTTCTGCCATCCACCTTGCCATTGGGGTGAGCCCCAGTCCAGGTCATCACCTCAGTATGTTTGTTGGATGGATGACCCAACATGCGCTGGTCGAACGCTTGTATCAACATCCTCTGCAATGTTGCCCACCATGAGCTGCAGGTGAACCGGGCGGCTTGGTAGAAGCCGTTGTAGGAGTAGTCTTGGAGGAACTGGCAGGGTAGGGAGTGCATGTGCTGCAAGGTCAGGGGGCTACCATGGATACAGCGCTGCGTTTTCAGGCCCTCAGTGTCCCGTCCCTACATGGAAGGTCGTGATGCCCGTGAGTTCGCGTTGGATTCTTCCGCCAACCGTTTTGGCGCCTTTGCAAGGGGCTGAGATACAGCGCTCAAGGCAGCCGTCCCCGTCCCCTGCGGCATCCTCTTTTCTTGCGGGGAGACCAGCTGAAAGCCGACTGTGTGTCCCTAGTTGGTCTTTTACTGTTCACACCAGGTGGAGATACAGCGCTGACCGCAACTGTACTCGTGATCCACCGCCCGGTGGTTCTTTTCACACGCCTTGCCCGCTACGAGAAGAACCGGGCACGGTTCCCTGGACACTTGCCAAGGAAACGTCTGCCCACTCCGGCAGCGGAGTGAGGCCGGTCGGAAACTCGCCTTGTAGGAGGATTCTGTTGATGTGGTCCTACTGGCTTGGTCTTGTAGCGGAGCTGGTAGGCTGCCCGCATCTTATTGCGGCCCCCTCTCCCCAACATGGCCCTGCGGTCAACGACCGGGGATATGTCCAGCTCGCTCAACTTCCTGGCTCCTGAAAGCGTCGAGCGAGTTCTCCAGTCTGATTACCGCCAGGACCGATGTGGCTAGGGTGTAGCCGTTGGCCTTCGAAAAATCACCCGCAGCGCCTTGCCGCGGACCTCCGCCTCAGTCCATCGCCCACACCAGTCCAGGTGGGTGACAAAGCCTGCACTTGCCATCTGGGCCATGAGCATCCAAGGTACCTCGTGTTGGGCAAGAATTTGTCTCAGTCCGCATACGCCTTGGAACAGGGAGATGGGGGTCTCGCCAATGTGTCCCCCCACCGACAAGTGGAAAACACCCAATTTGCGCAACAAGTTGGCAAAGAACGACGCGGTCCACACATGTCCTTTCCACATGGCGCGCCCGTTCTGCAACTTGGGGCTGGCGCGTCGGTTCAGCTGCAAGTCCACCACGCAGGACTTATAGGCTTGTGTCAACCGCCGAACGTGACACCAAACGCCCGTTGACCTACCCGCATGCTTGCCCACACGCCAGTGGCCTGCGTCGCAGAGCGGCCTCGGGCGCTGCTGCGTCGGCGCCAAGGATGAGGCATGAGAGGCCGCGCGTTTCCCCACAGATGGCTTGGTCAAGCTGGACCATCACGCGGCGCACTGCGATGGAAGAGGAAAGAGCCTTGGTCACGAAGGACGCGTCCAGGTCTTTGATTTTTCTGCAGGCCGTTTCAGGTCGAAGGCTGTAGGGAGTGGAGGGTGGGGAAAACAACCAGGAAGATCCGAGTCATTGACTTGAGCCAAAATGGCCCCGAGTAACAAGTTCAGACTGGTCCGAGTACAGCGCAGGCAGTGGGAGTTAACAGCACTTGGCACCATGACATCCTAGTTAACCCAAAACAAGTTAGGACAACATAAGAATCGAAGTCTTTAGCTCCTTTCTTCAAGGCT